CATGGACACTTTTTTGGAGCTCTATACAAGGAAACCTTAAGCTCGCCTGAGCGAAAATGTGCTATAGCAACAGCCTGAATCCAAAAAAGTGTCATATGGAAGATTTTGAGCAGCATTAAAGCTGGGCGCGCTCTGAGCCCAGGGACCAAACGGGGGAGATTTTTAATCTCGCCTTGGCAGGCAGAAGCCAAAAACCTGATAATTTTTCAGAAAGATGAAGTTGTGTGGTGAATGTAGGGGAATGCTTCTCTTTCGCGGGAACCCATCAACAATGCGTCCAAAGTCCATCGAACTTTAAAATGGCTCTGAACCATCCTGCTTTGGCCTGTGACCCAGCCTATCTGCTTCTAGTCCCCTGAGGCTGGAAGAGATTTAAAGAATCACTTTAAAATGAAAAGTCAGCTGCCAAGAGGAGCCCCAAGAGGGGTATATGAACCAAATACCAGGAGACGCCTCGCAAGGATAAGGAAAGTCCAACATCTGAACAATCGATTGTCCCGAGAGGGCAGCGCAGGCAGAGACCAGACCGGGGCCAGGGCACGTATAGCTGCACCACAGGCAACTGCATGGGAAGGAGCTGCCCCGATAATCACCCCCACTAAAACGCAGGGGCTCTTCTGCAGCAATGGCACAATCTTGAGTTGAGGAAAGGTCCTGTCCCAGCTCCTCTGAGCACCTGCAAGGCCCCCACGCCTCTGGGTGGCAAAGGATGGGGCAGACAAAGCCTGATGCTTTTTTTTTTTTTGGCAAGGACACAACTCCACCAGCACAAAGGGCACCTCCCTGGGCAGGGAGCGGTATCGTGATTGCCATAGGATGCAGAGGGATGGAACATGTGTCTGGATGCTCCCGCATCCTTCCAAGAAACAGCCTGGGTTAGTTTTAGAGACCCACTGGGAGAGACGCATCTCCTGGTCCTCCTGCTGTCCCCATGGCAGCCGTTTGCTCCCTCACCCCTCTGGTCCAGGTTGCTGCTGCCAACTACACTCTTTTGGCATGATCAGGAGCTGTGTAGGCTGAAGCTGGTGAACAAACCCAAGCGTGCTCATTTCAGCCGCCCTAGTAGCACAGGAGAACAGGAGGTGGGGGAGCGCGGACTTCCCAAATGGAAAAATACAGAACCAGCCGTGGGTAGGGCAGCACTTAGGAAAGACAGGAGAGTTCAAACTTCTGGGTCCAACTAACGCCAGCCGTGGGCATACTCCTCTCGAGTCCCTCGCTGGGAGGGAACAGAAGTGGTGGAGGAAAAACGACATGACTGCTTGTGGCCACAAGCAGAGAAGGAAAGTTCCTGCCTGAGCCAAGGAGGGAGGTGAGACCTCCCTGCCCACGCAGGCAGCCAGGGAGAGGGTCTGGCCCCAGCTCCAGCTCCCTTCCACCCTGAGCAGGTCATTTCTTACACAGGCTGTGCCTGCTCCAGTTCCCAAGTGCCAGAGGAGCCGTTCCGGCAGCTCCCCCTTGCAAACAAAAGGCAGGAGACACACCAGAGGAAGCAACTGGGAAAAGAGTGTCCATCCCCAGCCAGTCTCAGAAACCCACATACGAGTTTGCAGTCAGTGGAAGCAGAAAGAAAAAGTGCAGAAAGTGCCATGCAGTGCCAGGGAACCCTGCTGGGGCCGGAGCAACAGGATACTACAGTCGCAACAGGAATGCGGCCAGGCTGGGACCATCGGTCCCCACCAGCTACACAGCCGGTACTGGAGAAAAAAGGTACAACTGCATCCCGCTCCTTGACAGTGAAGGACAGGGAGCCTTCCCACTTCAAACGCAGCTTCCCAGGAAAGCCAGGCACACCAAGGGAAAGGGAGATGCTGAGAGACACACCTTTAAGGCTGTTTTACCTGTTTGCCTTTTACGATGTGCTTGGGCACAGGCACTTTAATCTCCAGGTCACTGTAGTCTTGGGACCAGGCGTAATTCTCTCGCACAGCTCCGTTGTAGCTGTCGGGGTTTGTCTGGAACTGCTCCTGTCTCCTGGGGAGGAAGAAAGGGGCAAAATGCTAAGTGTCGGACAGATCAGAGCCTGGAGAGAGCAGGAAACCTGAGAGCAGGCTACGAGAAGCAGAAAGGGAGGGCAGAGCCTCTGCTTGGCCATCCTGCGAGTATTCCTAATGCTTCAGGCTGATGCTCAGTCTCTCCCTCGCTGCTGACCCTATCTAGGAAGGGAGAAGGTTCAGGCTGGCAGCCTCAGGATGCAGAGGGACCCCGGTCAGCCTGCCCATCGCAGGCAACTTGCACACCCCTCTCCCCAGCGTGCTGCAATGGAAGTCAGGCTGCTAACGGGACAACTGGTGAGACACACGATAATTTGGCTGCCCAAAAGGTGCAGAGCTGGTTGCTGGCTGGCTCAGGGCACCTTCCCAGCTAACTCTGCTAAAGCGCAGAGCTTCCCTTCCCCTCCACCTCCCTGCTGCATCCACCACGCCTGTCGCAGCTGGAGCAGGGGACACCGCCAGGTGCTGGAGGGTGTGTGCTGTCTCCTGAGCCACTGCCATGGCTGCAGAGGTGGTGGTCCATCCCTGTGACCTGGGTTCACCATGAAAAAACAGAGCCGGTCGTCCTCCCCCTGTTTTTAGTGTGTTTGGGAAAACCACCAGCTGTCACGACCAGGGTAGATGCTGACACAGAGGTGATGGAGCTGTGGAGCAGGACATCTGAAGAGCCAGCCTGGAGCAGGACTGGAGGGGGGCAACTGGACAACTGGAACACGAGCAACACTTTGAGCAAAACATTGGCGCTTCCAGCTGCGGAAATTTCAGCAGAAGGATGAGGAAGCAGTCGCGGGGGTAGGATGGCATTTATCAGACCGATAAGCAATAATCAATACAGTGTTTCCAGCCAAGAAAGGACAAGTCCATCACACCCATGTCCCTTTAAACTGCTGGCAGGTTGAAGATCTATTCCATTGAAACCTCCCGGGGAGGGCTTTCAAATAAAATAAAATCTTTTCTAAAGATAGCTGCGGTGCTAACAAAAGGCAGAGTTATTTTAAAATGTTTTGATACGCACCTAGTCTTCAATCTGGAGCTGTATAAACACGGGGCTGCAGCGAGTTATGTAAGTGGGGGGCAGCAACGAGCGGCCCCGGGGTGCAGCCGGCCCCGGGGACCGCATCTCCCCGCGCCCCGTTGCCTTCCTGACACCCCCACACCGAGGGGCCCTTGCCAGCACCAGGCGGGGGTGGCATCCAGCAGCGTGGCACCCTGAGCATTATGTAAGATCCATCCATTTTAATTAAATTAGGCTCTAAGACGGTCGGAGGGTGCTGTTGAAGGGGCTGTGTGTACACCTACCCCTGCTTTTTTGTTCTTGATGGTTTCACAGGGTGCACTAAGGGGTTTACCTGCCCTTTACAACCCGTGCCCCAGGGTGGTTTGGATTAGGTTCCCTGGGCATCAGAGGCAACGCAGGCAGCACCGGGAACTGGCAGCAGCCTCGGGCTCCCAGTCTTGGCCGATGATTTCAGGGGCCACGGCATCACTTTTTTTGGGCATCTTGGCCTTGCCTGGCAGCCGCCCATTGGGTGCCCATTGCCATGGCAACGGGGTTGGCATAGCAGCGCCGAACCCGCGCTGGCGCAGGTTGGCTCCAGCTGTCGGTTTCCCAACCGCCTCCGGATTGTAGGAGTCGAACAGGCTGGAGGGCGAGAGGGGGAACGGCGCGGGCAACTGGGGTCTGCACGGCCCCGTTCTCACCCGGCGGGAAGCAAACGCGTTGAAACGAGGCAGCGCATCCCCAAGCATCGTCTCCTGCATCCCCAGGTACTCACCTAGAGCCAGCCCAGCTCCTGGCCCTGCTCTCACGGCACAATCATCCAGAGAACATCCCACGTAAGCCCCGGGCAGAGAGAAGGGATGTTTCTCTCCCAGGTGAGGATGAGTGCGGTGCCCAGGGCAGCTTGGCTGGTTCAGTGCCTTCACAGGATGCGTCCCCACACTGTGGGGTCTGCCCAGGCACAGCACAGGTCCACGAGGCTCCTGCCCTCCGCCCCGACTCCCTTGGGCTGGAGCAAGCGTGTACATGGCCACGTGGTGAGCCAGAGGACAAACCTGACCAGGTTTTAAAACCAGCTGCGTTTTTAATTCCTAAGAGAGTGTTCCCTTCTAAGCAGCACGCGCCCCTTTCTGCTCCTCCATGACCGTCAGGGGCAGCTGGATGTGGGCATTTTTTGAACATCCCACAGTCCTGCCTGCAGCATCCTTCAGTTCAACTGCACTCTCCTTCCATGAAAAGCCCCACTTTCAGGCTCAATGCCTGCACCAGCTGAGGCAGAGCTCACTATGCTCCTTCCAAACCTTCCAGCAAGACACCAGAGCTGGGAGCCACCATCCCAAGCATCAGTGACGCCCTGTAATAGCGTAAAGAACTACACAAGAATCAGCAAGTGGTTATTTACTTCCAGGCCATTCCCCTCCTGGCCTTCCCCAGGAAAATCTCAAAGGCTAACGGGGAAGACAGTGAGCCTGTGCCTGGCCAAGGCTTCTTGGAGCAGATGCAGAGCACCAAAGATGGGAGAAAACCCCTTAGTACAAAGGCAAGCACGGGTAAGACGCCAGCTGCAAATGCCTCACAGCCACAGCATGGATAAATATGATCCAGGGCCAGCCACTTGTTGCCACAAAGCCACTAGATCTGTCCTTGATGTGTCTCCTCTTCCTCAGGAGGAAAGTGCTACGGCTGAGCAGACCCTGGTCATGGATGTCCTGGACATTTTAGCCCTCCTGAGAGCTTGCTCAGCATGATTTCATTGCCCCGTGAGGGCACGAGTGGCTTCACAGCAGCCCTGGGAGAAGTCAGTGTTAATTGGGTTACTTCCACAGGGAAACTGAGGCAGGACTTGCTCCGCAATGACTCTGTCAAAATTCTCATTGCATTGCATCGCTACTGAACAAGCGAGCGCAGTCTTCCTCCCAGCCTCGACCATCCCCTGCGGGACAGCTCTGTCCTCGCTCTCTCTGTGCCGTAACTAGAGCAGCGCGCTGGGTGACGGAAGGATGTTTCACAGCCATCTCTGCCTCCACACACAGCTTGCTGGGACCAGCTCAGCCCTGCTGCCTCATCCTCACGGCCCTCCCAGCCTGGCTGAGCAACACGTGCCCCAGTCAAACCATCCCCATGCCCAGTCAGCTTCAGCAGGGAGAAGTTTCCCCCTGTGCCTAAACCCCCCTCCTGCCACGCCTGCTCATCCTGGGGGTGCAGGGACCGGCGCCGTCGCTTCTCTGCTCCTCTCCTCCCTAACAGCCAGCCCGAACCCCTCCAGCCCTTCCCGCAAGTCACCACCACCGATCGCGGCTCCAGCTCTGCTCCCGGCATTCAAAATCCTCGGATGTGAAACAAATGAGGTGACTTTGTGCCCCAGAACAGAATCACAGGGGGAAACTCATGAAGGCCTCAGTAAACTCCCCTACCAGTTTAACTGCCCGCTCTTGAGCAAATGAGGATTCAGGGTGGCAAACACAGGCCTCAGCCTCATTAGGCACCTCTGACAAACAGCTGACAGCTCTACTACCTCCTGGAGGAACTCTTCCTTTCCTGGAGGTTTTCCAGCCAGATCCTTGCCTGGTCCAACTGTGCTTAGCACACGCCACCCTTCATGCTGGCAGCACTCAAGAAATTGGACCCAGCTCCCTGGTTGGAGGTAGCTTCCCTTCCCATCTGCAGGAGACGGTCCTAGCTCACAGCGAGCTGGGTTGAGCCATGCGTCACGCCGGAGGTGGCTCTCCCAGTCAAACCTGTCCCTCGCGTCACTTCAACAGCACCACCATGCAGCAGGCGAGAGAAATTCCTGCACGAACACTACTGCCAAGAGACATCCCCATCCCCAGATCCACCAGGTGAAGATCAAGGCCAGATCCAGAGCACAGCGCGGGGTTGGATGGCTATCCTCCCGGCAGCCTGGCAATAGCATAGCTGCTTGC